TATTCAGACCAGTGTCACGGAGAACGAAGGTTTTAAACACCTCCTGTTAATTTTTATTTATTTATATTTTTATTAGCCTGTTGTTTACAGTGATAGTGCTGTTTCAAAGCAACATAACACTGCTAGTTCACCACCTTAAGTTTTAAATATTCAGTGGCACAATATATCTTTGTAAAACTTGTTTTCATAGTTGAAAAGTTAAATCACAAATCTTGTAAATCTTGTTGTGCAATGGTAAACCTTTATGTTGAAAGAGTGCAAATATATACATTTATAGTATATATTGCACTTATACATTCTGGTTATCTCGAAAATACTTAAATAATATGTGCTATATGTTCTAAAATGGCCCTCTACTGTAAACTGACACTCTGGCTCTGAGAGAAAAGCCAGTTTGTAAAAAAAAGTCTTGGTTTTGCTTGGTTAATAAATAATCAAACTCATTCAATGGCACAGCATCCTTTCTTACATCATCTCATAAACTTGATCTAATTAGTTAGTGCTGAAATATCGCATCGTATCGTGATATGGGTGTAAATCGTATCGTGTTGCATCGCAATGTCACAAATGTATCGCTAATATATCGGATCGTATTCTTTGTATCAAGATGCATATCGTATCGGCATTATAGCTTAGATGCCCAACCCTAGTATGTAAAGTTTCAGCTCAAAACACCCATCAGATTTCTCATTATACTCCTGTCTGCTGTCCGGAATTGAAGCGTCTACCTTTATAATTGTTTTGACATGCGGCTGTGCTGATCAAGTAAAGCTAAAGTGAATCGCTGTACTTCATTACACGCATGCACTGTTTTAAAACATTTTAAACATGTGAAACTCACTCTTGATCACATTTGATGATGATTGATGATCCTAGCGAACTGAACAGACCTTTTATTCCTGGGTGCTTTGCGCACGTCTGGTCTTGTTGACATGATTATACACATGACAACCGGGACATGCTACGCGAAGCTGTCAATCAATTTGGTGGGCGGGAGGACCGCACTCCTATGTCAAGTTGCGATCGGTCTGAAAACCGCTCCAATTGGTCCACCGTTTTTATGTTGTTAAATTAAAAAAAAGCACTTGGTGTGTTTATATGACCCCAATATGACCGTCTATACACTATACCAACATATATGTCTGTCCAAACAGCTTGAAAAGTAGATTTTTCACCATAGGTGCCCTTTAATGCTAGATTCACACCAAAAATAGAATTAAGTAATGGTGTTAGTAAATTGCACACAAGTCAATGCAGACATGAGAACCAAGGCGGATAACAGTCCCGTGGTGCAAATGATGTGGAATACGCAATGCATTTTCTGTTATCATGTACAATATGTCTCTATGTAGAATAGGTGTTAGATACCATAGATTTCCAATCCGATCCTGAGTAAAATCCTGGCTGGTTTCGGCAGTATCGATCCAATACTCAAGGTGCAAAAACGTCTTGGTGTCTACCAAATGTAAAAAAAGTAGTGTGCTTTAAATCATCGCTTTTTTTATTTATTTATTTTTTTATTTTTTCCTTACAATTTTCTCTTTTATTCCTGTTTATGTAAAGCACTTTGAATTAGAGGTCTGGGACCCGACCGGATTTCTGCGGCACGGAAATAAATTTCCGAATAAACCGCGGGAGCAGTCGGTAACGGGTTCAATTTGGGACGGGAGCGGCCGTCTAGCAATATCGCTCCCGACTCTCGAGCGAGCGCGCATATGTATGTGCTAAATGAAATAGCGCGATGCTGTATTTAGCTTTTTTGTTGCTGTGTGTGTGTGTGTGTGTGTGTGTGTGTGTGTGTGTGTGTGTGTGTGCGTGTGTGTGTGTGCGTGCGTGCGTGTGTGCGTGCGTGCGCGAATGCTTGTTATATGCTGTTTGGACTATATTGGACTGTATATCTGGGTGGTTTTCGGTTTTGTTCTCCGCCCACTCTTTAGCGGGATCGGGCGCGGCGGGTAGAAAACGGGGCGAGTCGGGCAGCGGGACAACAAATGCTGAATGTAAGCGGGATTTTTATGCAAGCGGGAAATTGTATGTAAGCGGGAAATTTAGTCCCGCGCAGATCTCTACTTTGAATTGCCACTGTGTATGAAATGTTCTATATAAATATACTTGCCTTGCCTTGCTTCAAACAGAGAATTTTTTAATTAATTTTAAACTTGGAAATGTATTGAGGTGGTGGCCTTATTTACAATATAGCTGTGCTACACACTTCCCCAGGCAGAAATAAAAGAAGTTCCCATCAACGCATGATATTTAAACTAGATCTCAATAGTTTAATTGCTTTCCACTGTGTTCCAGCTATTGAAATAATTGCCTTAAATCACTGAAGTATCAAAATTAAAGTATCAATGTTTTTATTGGAGAATCCATATTGATATTTTAGTATTGAGCTGCGCATTACTACACTCAGTCGCATCTTCTGCATTTGGTGTGAACCCAGGCACGTTGACCAATCAGAAAGGAGAAAACCCCACTGATGTCATGAGACAAAAACTCTAGTTGTAGTGGCAACAACACCACATTGTTTCATAGAGTTTCAGTTTCACCCTGGCTAGGGTTTTCAGAAAGTTTCTGTTTCAGTCACTTGATACAGTGTTTTTGTGTGGATAAATGACGTCAAAAAATGTTGTGTGGACAGGGCCTAAACAGCTAACTTTATTGTTCAAACTAAATCAGTAAAAAAAAATTCAGGGTTCACAAAACCGGTTGCCCGATGTCCTGGGTGACCAAAAATTAATCCACCAATAAATCTGACCTATCGGACAATCTTATGTAATTCTTATGGGTTGAAGGAGCCTCTCTCTCTCTCTCTCTCTCTCTCTCTCTCTCTCTCTCTCTCTCTCTCTCTCTCTCTCTCTCTCTCTCTCTCTCTCTCTCTCTCTCTCTCTCTCTCTCTCTCTCTCTCTCTCTCTCTCTCTCTCTCTCTCTCTCCCTCTCTCTCTCTCCCTCTCTCTCTCTCTCTCTCTCTTTCTCTCTCTCTCTCTCTCTCTCTCTCTTTATATATATATATATATATATATATTGTGCATCTGGAAAGTATTCATAGCGCTGTTACAGTCTTATTCCAAAGTGGATTATATTTATTTATTTCCTCAAAATTCTACACACAATACCCCATAATGACAATGTGAAAAAAAGAGTTTTTGAAATTGTTGCAAATTTATGAAAAATAAAAAAGCTGAAAAATCACATATACATCAGTATTGACAGCCTTTGCCATAAAGCTCTAAATTGAGTTCAGGTACATTCAGTTTCCACTGATCATTCTTAAGATGTTTCAGCAGCTTGATTTCTTTCATTTGATTGGACATGATTTTACACCTGTCTACATAAGATCCCGGGGTTGACAATGTATATCAAAGCAAAAACCAAGCATGAAGACTAAGGAGTTGTCTGTAGACCTCCGAGGCAGGATTGTCTCAGCACAAGGCTGGGGAAGGTTACAGAAACATTTCTGCTGCTCTGAAAGTTCCAATGAGCACAGCGGCCTCCATCATCCATAAGTGAGAGATGTTTGGAACCAGCAGGACTCTTCCTAGAGCTGGCCGGCCATCTAAGCTGAGTGATCAGGTCCTTAGTCAGGAAGGTGATCAATATCCCGATGGTCACTCTGTCTAAGCTCCAGCATTCATCTGTGGAGAGAGGAGAACCTTACAGAAGGACAACCATCTGTGCAGCAATCCACCAACCAGGCCTGTATGGTAGAGTGGGCAGACGGAAGACACTCCCCATCTGAAATTCGCCAAAAGGCATCTGAAGGACTCTCAGACCATAAGAAACTAAATTCTCTGCTCTGATGAGACTAAAATTCAACTCTTTGGAGTGAATGCCAGGTGTTACGCTTAGAGAATACCAGGCAGCGCTCATCACCAGGCTAATACCATCCCTGCAGTGAAGCATGGTGGTGGCAGCATCATGCTGTGGGGATGTTTTTTAGCAGCAGGAACTGGAAGACTAGTCAGGATAGAGGGAAAGACGAATGCAGCAATGTACAGAGACATCCTGAAGGAAAACCTGCTTCAGAGTGCTCTTGACCTCAGACTGGGGCGACAGTTCATCTTCCAGCAGGACAATAACCCAAAGCACACCGCCAAAATATCAATGGAGTGGCTCCACAACAACTTAGTGAATGTCCTTGAGTGGCCAAGCCAGAGCCCAGACTAAATCCTATTGAACATCTCTGGCGAGATCTGAAAATGGCTGTACACTGTCACTTCCCATCCAACCTGATAGAGCTTGAGAGGTACAGCAAAGAGGAATGGGCAAAAAATCCTGAAGACAGATGTGCCGAGCTTGTGGCATCATATTCAAAACGATTTGAGGCTGTAATTTCTGCCAAAGGTGCATCAACAAAGTATTGAGCAAAGGCCGTGAATACTGATGTACATGTGATTTCTCAGCTTTTCATATTTAATAAATTTGCTACAATTTCACAAACACTTTTTTTCACATTGCCATTATGGGGGATTGCGTGTAGAATGTTGAAGAAACAAATGAATTGAATGCATTTTGGAATAAGGCTGTAACATAAAAAAAAATGTGGTAAAAGTGAAGCGCTATGAATATTTTCAGGATGCACTGTAAATATACACACACACACACACACACACGCACACACAACACAACACATGTGACTAACTATTCAGGGTTAGTAACTAACCATCAAAACATACACTCTCTGCTCACTCAAACAATTAACCTTAAAAACAGTTTGTTGGTTGGTTGTATGTCTGGCTGTCTCCTAGAATTTTTTTTTTTATGTCATTAAAGTTAATTCCCTACAAGCCCTTGAGTAGATAATTAAAGTACGTGTAAATGACTACCCTAGATTGAATCCTAAATTAGAGATCCTTTTTTGGAAAAATCCGTTTTTTGGACCCTTAATGTGAATAAATGTTTTGTCTTGATATATTGGTTTGTGGTGTTCTTCATGAGAAAATTGATGTTCTGCCAATGGAAAAGCGGTATATTGTAATGCATTATTGTCTTGCTTTTAGGTTGCACAGACCACAGATGGGATTGACGCAGACTTGTGGAAAGATGGTCTGTTCAAATCCAAGGTGACCCGCTATCTGTGCTTCACCAGGGCATTTTCCAAAGAGAATGTGAGTCATTTCTACAGTTCTTTATCAGAAATGAAGGAGATTTCAGTGGTAACATTACATAAATAAATGCAGTTGAAATCAGAATTAATTGGCAATTTTTGGCCATAATATTTTATTTTGGACGCTTGAGACTTGTCATGCACAGCTTTACCTAATTAGCAAAAAACAAAGCCGTGTTTGCTTAAACATTCTTTAAAAAGCTGGTCATGTGGTATTTTAACTAGCTTAATATTGTTAGCATGGGTCTCAAACTGGATTCCTAGAGGGCCACAGCTGTGCACAATTTTGCTCCAACTCAAATCAAACACAGCTGATCCAACTAATCAAGGTGTTCAAGACCACTAGAGACTCTTAAGCAGGTGTGAGCTGGAGGAGGTTGATCCTAAAATCTGCAGAACTTTGGCCCTCCGGGAATTGACAGGCTTAAATGCATCTAAGATCAGTAAACATTGTAATTTTCTCAGAATATGTATTAGGGTGTATATGAAATATATAATATTGTGTATATTTGTAGGTGTGTATATAAAATTGTAATAATTTTGCAATTAATTTATAGGTTTTTTTTAATCAGTTCGGGGCTCAAAGTCTGTAAACCCCTCTCTACCATTAGACAACTCTGCTCTAATTGGTCAGGTGATTGGCCAAGTCTTTTTTTAATTGGTCTTTCTGTATTTATTGCATTTGAAACAAAACTTCCATTTCAGAGTGTTCAAGGAATTTTTCAGAGTATTTGCTATATTATTTTTTCCTATTTGTTTTATTTTGACTAGAATAAAAAGTTTTAGATTTTTAAAGACCGTTTTAAGGTTAATATTATTAGCCCCCTTAGGCAATATGTTTTTCCCTATTGTCTATAGATCAAACCACTGCTATACAATGACTTACCCTATTACCCTAACCTGCCTAATTAACCTAGTTAAGTCTTTTAAGGTCACTGTAATCTGAATATTAGTATCCTAAAAAATATCTAGTCTAATATTATTTACTGTCATCATGGCAAAGATAAAATAGATCAGTTATTAGAAATGAATTATTAAAACTATTATGTTTAGAAATATGTTGAAAAAATCTTCTTTCTTTTAACCAGAAATTGGGGAAAATATATACTGGGGGCTTATAATTCTGATTTCAGCTATATATTACATTGAACTTTTCTCACATTGCTTAATACACACAGGATGTAAAGCTAAAACAAATGTGTTTACAAATAACAAAGAATTAATGGAATGAAATGTTAAAAAAATTATTATTTTCTACATAAATTTAAAAACCACTGCCTTCATGCCTTCTTCATCTCAGAGGGCTTTTTCAGTTTATTCATGACAATTTGCTTTTGTATAATGTTATTATTAGCAGTATTATTTGTTATATGCATATTTGTTTTATTAAAACCAAGCTTAGATTTGCCCACCTGTGGGGTTTTGGATCATTTGGGGCCTAGCATGTGTGTTTGGATATAACTCTTAAATCCAGAGTGAGCACAGTAGATTATTATAGTTCTTTTATTCGTTTGCTGGATATTAGAACTGAATTTAGAAATAGTTTTGAAACAAATCTTTGGGCTTAACAAACAAAATTAATTATGTAGGCTAATGGATGGCTGTGCGTACAACATGTTTCCTTATCCATGAAAGAGTAAAAGTAAAGAATGAGGAGGCTAATTCTCTCATTCTTGCGCTGTAGATGCTCTGTTTTTTCACTTACAAAGTCTGTCATTAAAATAGCAAATTCGCTATGGTGTAACCATAGACTGTAAAATATATGGACGTAGTATCAGTGACGTCACCCATAGGTTTCTAAAGAGCGCAAAAGAAGCCACAAGTAGGCGCGGCCAACCGTCGCCATTTTGTTTGCGCGTCATCACACCGACGGCGGGATACCAAACAAGGGCAAAGAGGCGGAGAGTGAGCGGAGCTACAGACACCTGCTGGCATTTAGCTTGGACCTGGTTCAGACACACTTTACTTTGGGAGAAACGCTTAATACTTTATCACCTGCGACTCGTTTGTGTTCTGAACACTTGTGCTTGGTTGTATACTATATCAATAAAGTGTTTAGACTTTTAAAAACACTGCTGTAATACAGTGAGCCACTAAACATTGCTCTTATGACGTTTTTCAACAGGGGGAAAACGCAAATTACTTATAAACACTTCAGATATAGTCTGTGTTAGTTAATGTAAGACTATTGATGAAATCCTGCTTAACACTGTATGACAACGCTTCAGATGACGGTTCTAGAGCCTACAGCTAATCAATCTGACAGATTCTGCAGTGCATTACAGCTCTAAATATAAATATAAACGATAAATGATCTTAAATAAAACAAATACATGTATAGAGATGGTATATAAGTATGTAACTTTACTTACATGGGAAACGGAGGCCACGTGAATGGTTTGTGAGCACAATTAAGTGCACTCAGAATGCCATGCCATCTAATAATTGTTGGAAACAAGTCCAAAAGACAGTCGACTGTGTAAAGCCACATAAAACAACACAGAAATACGATAAATATGGCAAGTTCAGTGGCTAATCAGCAGGATTCAGCTGAGGTGACGTGACGGCGACCAACGAGACCTAGCTGTCAATCAAGTGACCACGCCCTTAATTATGCAAACTTAATATAACTTAATATAAAGGAAACATCTCCAGGTTGGAGGAAAGTCCTTACCCCAGGTGGAGGAGTTTAAGTATCTCGGGGTTTTGTTCATGAGTGAGGGAAGGATGGAACGTGAGATTGACAGGCAGATCGGTGCAGCAGCAGCAGTAATGCGGTCGATGTACCGGTCCGTTGTGGTGAAGAAGGAGCTGAGCCGAAAGGCAAAGCTCTCGATTTACCGGTCAATCTACGTTCCTATTCTCACCTATGGTCATGAGCTTTGGATTTTGTAGAGTCGCTGCTCCTCCACATCAAGAGAAGTCAGCTGAGGTGGCTCGGGCATCTGTTTCAGATGCCTCCTGGATGCCTACCTAGGGAGGTGTTCCAGGCATGTCCCACCGGGAGGCGGCCTCGGGAAAGACCCAGGACACGCTGGAGGGACTATGTCTCTCGGCTGGCCTTAGAATGCCTCGGGATCCCCCCGGAGGAGCTGGAGGAAGTGTCTGGGGATAGGGAAGTCTGGGGTTCTCTCCTAAAACTGCTGCCCCCACGACCCGGCCCCGGAAAAGTGGCAGAAAAGATGAATGAATGAATGAATGAATGAATGAATAAAAGAAACGGATGAGTTCTAAAAAAAATTCACCCCCCTCACAGTTGTCATGAAGGGTAATATTAGCTGTATGAACCAAAATCTGTTTTTGTACCAGGCTGTAAACACCTTTTTTCTGCTGTAAAGTTGGCCATTCTAACAGTGGACTCAATTGAAATTTGCCCTATTTTGGAGCCAGGAGTGGCCAGGACTAGCAGAATTTCGGATGAATTGCAGTTTTAGTTACTTCCGTATTGGATTCCTGAGGGAGAGCGGGAGGTTGCCGCTTGGGTGTTACACAACTGACTCTTATAGGGAATGGGAGATGAGACTCTGATTGGTTTATTCTCAAAACACACCAATAAGTCGTTAAAAGAATAAGCTCAACCCTGTTAGACCATTCGCCATGGCGCAAAGCGGATTTTTCCGTCTTTAAAATAGCAAACTTGGATTCAGACACACCCTTAATGCTTTTGCAGCCTGCGCTTTGAACTTTGCGCCTAGATCTTTAAAATAGAGCACTATGTTTATTTATAATGCACTTTTCTAATGGACAACTTTGCAGATTGTTTACATTTAATTACAGCTACATTACATCCTGCAAATAGGATATTTTTTGAAAGCTCATAACTTTAATACTGCATAATTTAGTCTAAAGGCTGAAAACAGGGTTGAACTTTTCACACATTTAATGCATGCTCATGCTAGAGTGTTTATTTAACATAACATCTTGTTGGAGCTGTAGGGCTCACTATAATTTGTCACAGGATCTCTTCTATTTGTTTTTTTAGACAATTTCTTTTTGTTCATGGAAACAAAGACGCTTCCTCTCCCTCAGTCTCTGTGGTTTAGTCCAGTCTTTTTAAAACTCGAGTGGAAAGAACTTTAAGGCAATATTTGTGGTTTAGTTTTGCTTTTATGAATGTTTAGGGATTCAGCAACTGTTAGTTTAGTCTCGGTGAACTCATACATCTGAGTGTTGACAAAACAGCACATGCAGGAAAACCCTCAGGATATCCCCTAATGAATGAAGATAACCCCAACACTTGATTTCTTCAAGAACATTCCTTTAATTCATCTTAAGCTTAAAATAAAATAGGTCTTAAATTACACTTAATAGCATAGTACTTGAATGCCGTGTTGTCCCAAATGAAGCACTAATGTTTTTTTTTTACTAAGCGAAAATTTAAACCGTTTCCCTAATGACATTTGACGGTTGCCAAATTAGCTAAATAAATGACCCAAGTAGCAAATAATACCTGCCATGAATATAACCGCATTCACCATCGGGAGGCGCTATAATCACTCTCATAGAATACTGCTTTCACAATTAAAAATAAAGTAATCTAACATGCGCGCCCGATAGCTCCGCCCCTTCCGCTACATGAGCAAAGCAGCGGCTGTAGAGTGTGTGAAGTGTCCAACAGTCTACACTTCATATTACCGGTTGAATGAAAGCATCATCCGGGTATTTAAAGTGCACTAGAGCTGCACGATTCTGGCTAAAATGAGAATCGCGATCTTTTTTTTTTTTTGCTCAAAATAAAGATCACTATTTTCTCACGATTCTGTAGATGTAAAATAAAGGTATGGTAAAAACAAACATATGGCACAACATCGATAATAATATTATGTGTAGGTCTGCTGGTTTTTATAAATAATTATATTCTACTTAATAATTCTGATGTTGAATTATTATGTTTGAGATATATGCTTGCAATCTGTCATATTAGACCATTTTTTTCACTGGTAAAATCAGACATTTGCTATTATCAGATTATATTCAACATTATATAGGCTAGAGCAGTTATACTGACATTGTAAACATTTATTTTCATGCACAACTGTGTGTTCGTTATGAAAGAAAAAAAAAGCATATCAAACGCTTGCCGTAATCATAACTCTAAAATGCGATATGATCATTTAAATAAAGTGCACACACAGTCTGTTTCATTCTGACTGCTAAGTGCTTGTTCATACTTCACGCGGCTCCCAAACGATCACTCTGTGCCACAAACTGAATATTATTTACAACTTTAATACCTGTTACTCGCAACATATGCAGATTCTGTTCACTAAAGTAGACGCGCATGCGTCTATCATTAAGTAGAGCGCGCGCCCTCTCTGTGATAACAGCTCACGGTCAGCAGCTCACGTCACGTGTGATTTTTCCCGGCAGCGAAAACATCATTATATGAAGACAAAAATGACATTTTTAGGTGAATTATACCTTATAAATACAGTATGTGACTCATTCAACATCATTTGGAGGTGTCAGTGTCACTGAGCAATGTATGTGAAACAATGAAAAGACTCGAGCAGCCGCCTTTTCTTCTCTCCTGAACTTGAAAATATGATTGACAGAATCGTAGAAATGCTGGATTTAGATCGTCTAAGGAATCGAGATTGCGATCTTTTAACGATTAATTGTGCAGCTCTAAAGTGCACTTATTCTTTTTTAGGGTTTTCAGTGTAAACGCACTACTTACACTATTCATACTACAAAATGGCGTAGAATAGTGGATAAGTGTGTGATTTGGGACGCACCTATAATATCTTTATATGATCTTTAATATAAAGAGGCTTGTCGCAGCTTTCGGTTCATGTGGACTTTAAAAATGCAAAACTATAATATCTTTGATTGGTTAAGCTATGGCACTAATGTACTATTTTGTTCGATGGAAGCTTACGTTTCAGTAAAAATGAATGCTGTAACCTAAATTTAACCTAAAATGAATGCGAACATTTGAAGGACATTGCTATAGGATTCGCTTATTTACATTCTTCTGTATGTGCTTCCTTTTTTCTCTCCTCAGAGTCATTTAGGAAACGTGCTTGTAGACATGAAGCTCATCGACATCAAGGACACGCTGCCTGTGGGATTCATTCCCATTCAGGAAACCGTGGACACACGTAAGAGCCCCACGCATTTACAGTTCACTCTCTCTCAAAATGCAAAATGTGAAATCCAGCTTAGTTTTGAAGCATTTATGTTCACACTAGTACTGCACAATATATCGAAAAATCATTGCGGTAATAGTATATGCAATGTACTAAGCTTGTGCTTCATCAAACTCCATTTCAACCATGATGCAATGTATTTTTATTAAATAATTGTTAATCATTTTGTTATTTAATAATTGTGTATCTGCTTGTTAAGTCGTGACGTGTGAAATACTGTTTCTGGCTCCAATGCGCTACTTTTAGTCATATCAAACATTAAAGTAAATTTTTATATTGCATATAGTATACTTTATATAGTTTCTGGACCAATATTTTAACAATTTATAAAGAATTTATCACTTGGCCATCTGATATTAGGCATAAAACATAAAAAAACACGATCACTATATATATATATATATATATATATATATATATATATATATATATATATATATATATGAGCAATATCACACGTAGCAGTGTGATATGGCTGTATATCGGCACGGGTGGGAGGCATGCGTGCCTTAGTGCCCCCACCAGTGCCGATATACAGCCACATCGCACTGCTACGAGTGTGATATTGCGTTTAAACAACAGTTTGACGACATAATTGTGAATATAAAAACAAAATCAAACATGGAGAGTCTCAAAAACCCTTTTGTATGAGGAACTACTTTCTTCCGCATTGGATTCAAATCATAAGCTGACAGTTAAACAGCTGAGCAAGCATCTTTTAAACTTTAGATCTGTAGTGTCTGCTTTTTGCTGGCTGTATGTGGGCGGAGTAATACACAAAGGGTAAAGAGGCTGTACGGGTGCTGATATTGCAGAATATCACACGGCTATCAGCCAATCAGATTTGAGAACCAGACAGAACTGTTGTATAAATATATTTATTATTACCAATTGATGAGCCTCCCCATACAGTTTGATATGGTGCTTGGACCCAGAAGCCGCTTCATGTGACGTCACAATAAACTGATTTTTTTTTTTTTAAGAAATAAATAAATCTAATTAAATATCTATATTGCAGAGAAAGGCAATAAGTAAAACACATTATTTTGTGCCAAACATTTGTGTGCTTCATGCATAGGTTGTTTATCCTAATCTGACCAATCAGATGAGGTCTTTACTATCTTGGTCACACTGAACAATATCGTTTCATTAATATATTTATTAATGTATTTAAACCCTCGGACAATAGAGGAAAAGGACAACAGCCAATAGGAAGCAGGATATATATATATATATATATATATATATATATATATATATATATATATATATATATATATATATTTAACCCCCCCTGAATTATTTAACTGAGAGACGATTTGTTTCAACACATTTCTAAACATAATAGTTTTACTAACTCATTTCTAATAACTGATTTATTTTATCTTTACCATAATGACAGTAAATAATATTCAACCAGATATTTTTAAGACACTTCTGTACAACCTAAAGTGACATTTAATGCCTTAACTAGGCAGGTTAGGGTAATTTGGCATATAGCGATTTTTATTTGTTCTATAGACTATCGAAAAATAGTAGCTAATGGCTCGTTTCCACTGACTGGTACAGTACAGTATGGTTCGGGTCGGTACGGGTCACCTTTATCAGGCTTGCGTTTCCACTAAATGTTTATTACTAACCTTTCTATGAACATGATTTGATTATAACTGCAGATCAATAAATATAACGTCTATAGTTATATTAAATAGATGAATGCATCATATATGAACACATAAAGCCCATTACAGTTGGTTATGTTACCACCTACAGAAGAACTACACACAGCATACATTTAGTCCTTATTTAGGTTCAAAAACAATACAAAATATAGCCCACAGTCAGAGCAAACCTCTCATCTGTGTCTGTCATCTTCAGCAGCACCTGTAGCCTCTGTTAGAGAGTCATTCCATCATTCCCAGTTCATATTAGTGTAAAAGGTGATGATATTAAACATGGCAGTTTGTTCCTGTTTGCTGAAAAAATAATGTGCTCCTTGTTTTCCGGCTTCTCCTTTGTTTTTTCGTGTTTCACTCTCACGTTTGTCACTGTCTGACAGGAACGGGTTTCAAAAGCACGTCAATAATCAAGCGCGCAATATTATCATCAGCTCAAGAAGATTTAGATATAGACGAGCTGCGAGCGCAAGCAAGAACGCAAAACTGCTCGCGCTTCAGACTGGCTCAGGGGCACAGGGGCACAGGGTTAATCTGCTCTTTTTTTGGCATTGTAGCTGTTCATCAAAACGACGACATGGTTTGTTTGAGCCCAGTTCAACCATGGCTCGTTATTAAATATATATATATATATATATATATATATATATATATATGCTGTAATCTCTCGACTGTGTATTTTAAATATGGCGGCTCTTTTGTTTTCATTCTGGCTTGTTGCGTAAGCGAATGACGCATCTCTGTAAACCAATAGCGTTCAGCTGCGCATCTAGCTTCGCCTTTTGTTACCCTTTCTCATGTTTGGTACCCTTGCGAAAGGGTGCCGAAAAAGTTGTATGGTACGGTTCGGTTCCGTACGCCTTTTGACAGTGGAAACGGCCATAAAAGCATACCAAACCTTACCGTACCACTCAGTGGAAACGGGCCATAAAAGTGCCTAATAATATTGACCCTAAAATGTTAAAAAAAAAAAAATAATTCAGCTGCTTTTATTTTAGCCAAAAATAAAACAAATAAGACTTTCTCCAGAAGAAAAAAACAACAGACTCACTGTAAAAAAAATTCCTTGCTCTGTTAAACATCAAGAAATAAGAAATATTTAAAAAGAAAAAAAGAATTTAATGGGGGCTAATAATTTTGACTTGTAATATATATATATATATAATAAAATAAAAACATACTTAAAAATATCTATCACCTGTTTATCTTAATTTAGTATGATCCTAATATAAATTATACATTTTTAAATTGCTAATAAAATAGCACCTTCCAAGTTGTATGCAAGAAACTTCGGTCACACTTTACAATAAGGTTCATTAGTTAATATTAAGTAATGCATTTACTAACATGAACAAACAATGAACAATACATTTACTACAGTATTTATTCATGTTAATAAACGTTAGTTAATGAAAATACAGCTGTTCATTGTTAGTTCATGTTAACTCATGGTACATTAACTAATGTTAACAAGCATGGACTTAAATGTTAATAATGCATTAGTAATTGTTCAATTTTGATTCATAAATGCTGTACATGTGTTGTTCATGTTAGTAAAAGCATTATCTAATGAACCTTATTGTAAAGTGTTACCGAAACTTCATTATCACAACGCTCAATATAACAAAAATATTGCATATTATTCCAGTATTGTGCAGCCCTTGTTCACATACTTAAGCCAGCGTGAATAAAACCGCTGTAAATAAACCAAGGAGCAACGTTAACCAGCTTTAAAGAGATGCTTGTTTGCCACTAATGTATTTGCTTTCAGACGTGCAGACCGATAATGAATTCAGCCTCCTTTGTGGGTTTAGTTTCTGTTTCATGTTAAATAATTAATCGATCTTGTGTGAAATGATCCTCTTTGATTTCAAGCGCTGACCCCGTTTTGTCTGTTTTCTCTGTCTGTTGTGAATCTCCCTTTCACTTTCTTCATGGTGTCCTGTTTGTGTATCTGCAGAAGAGCCGGCGTTCAGGAAGAGGAGGTTATGCATTAAGTTCATCCCGAGAGACTCCACTGAAGCCGCCATCTGTGACATCCGCATTTTAGGACGCTCGAAACAGGCTCCACCACAGTACACCTTCATAGGGTCAGTTACACAACATAGAAAATGCCTTCGTGATGTTTGAAGCGCACTTCATTAGTGTTTTATGAGCAAATGAATAATAGTAAACTAGTAATATTATTTTTGAATTCATACAAGCATAGTTTGTGTATATTTATTAATAATATATTTTGCCTTGAACCGACTTTACAGGCTGTAAATGTAATATGGTAACATTAGTGCTGGCCGAAGATTAATCGTGAGTTTCTGTGCATTATATATATTTATTATGTATATGTAATACACATAAATACATTCATTCATTTTCTATTCGACTTAGTCCCTTTATTAATCAGGGATGTTTTTCCAGATGCAACCCATCACTGGGAAACACCCATACACTCATTCACAATCATACACTACGGACAATTTAGCTTACCAAATTCACCTATAGCGCATGTGTTTGGACTGTGGGCGAAACCGGAGCACTCGGAGGAAACCCACACCAACATGAGGAAAACATGCAAACTCCACACAGAAATGCCAACTGACCCAGCCGAGGCTCAAACCAGCGATCTTCTCACTGTGAGGCGACAGCGCTACCCACTGTGCCACCACATGGCCATATACATAGAAACAAAACTATGTGAATATTTTTGTTACATAGATATCTAAATTTATATATAATTGGTAATATATGCATATATATTATTGGATATATAATAAATAAACATTTTCTCTAATATATGCATGTGTGTATTTATGTATACATAATTTTGGATGACATTAATTGCGATTTATATTTAAAATATCAGTAAAGCACAGTTCATTAGTATTTCATGAATAAATGAATATTGATCTGCAGGTGGGCAGTGAATGAACAATATATACATATGAAATCAGAGTTATTAGCCCCCACTTGAGTTTTATTTAATTTTTTTAAATATTTACCAAATTATGTTTAACAGAGCAAGGACATTTTCACAGTATGTCTGATAATATTTTTTCTTCTGGAGAAAGGCTTATTTATTTTCTTTCAGGTAGAATAAAAGCTGTTTTTAATTTTTTTTAACACCATTTTAAGGACAATATTATTAGCCCCTTTAAGCTATATATTTTTTCGATAGTCTACAGAACAAACCATTGTTATACAATAACTTGCCTAATTACCCTAATCTGCCTAGTTAACCTAGTTAAGCCTTTAAATGTCACTTTAAGCTGTATAGAAGTGTCTTGAAAAATATATAGTCAAATATTATTTACTGTCATCATGGCAAAGATAAAATAAATCAGTTATTAGAGATGAGTTATTAAAACTATTATGTTTAGAAATGTGTTGAAGAAATCTGCTCTCTGTTAAACTGGCTAATAAATCAGGGGGGCTAATAATTATGACTTCAACTGTGCATGATTTTGAAATTTAATAATCAATAATGGCCATTCTAAAAGTGTAGCGTACAATAAGTTTATACAATATGGGAAATAAAGGCAAGCAATCAGTCAGATTTGCAGAATCAGTGTACGTGGTTATATTAAATAATATATTAACTTATCTTTGCGCTCTTCCAAAACACGCTACCTGAGAACAAGTAATAGATTTAAAAGACTGAAGAGTCATTAGACAGAGCCAAGATGGATTGAATATTACGTTTAACAACTACAGTGAGACGAAATCTAGTGGAAGATCCTTGATGAACTGTCCAACGTGCGCTGCTCTCATCTGGGGAGGTGTGCATACACAGCAACACATGCCAGAGTGTGTGTGGTCATGTGATGTGTGTTTTTAGCAGTGTAGTGTTGAAGGAGATCTTTTCAGAAATGCTGGGTGAAACGCCAGTGTGGACATGGATTGTTTTCATTTCAAAACGCTGTTTCATAAAATGTATTAGTGTAAACGGAGACTGTCTCTCTCGGCTGGCCCGGGAACGTCTCAGGATCCCCCTAAAGCAGCTGGAGGAAGTGTCGGGAGAGGAAAGTCTGGCATTCTCTCCTGAGACTGCTGCCCCCACTACCCGGCCCTGGAAAAGCAGATAAAAATAAATGAGGGAATTAATTAATGAGTGAATGAATAAAAATTTGAAAAAAAAAAAAAAAAAAAAAAAAATATATATATATATATATATATATACACACACATATATATATATATATATATATATATATATATATATATATATATATATATATATATTAATGTTATCAGGATTTTACTTTTTTGTTTTTATTATGAAATATTTCTGATCTACTGCATAAATGATGTTCCTCCATAAAATAATAACTTTAAACCATGTTTTTTTTCCTATTTAAATGTGCATGTTTTAAAAATTAATGTTTAAAGTTTTCTCTTAAAAATGTATAAAAGTATTAGCGTCATTAAATATCATCAGCAGTCTAATTGCATTGTTTTAATTGAAATATCTCAGCCTGAAGTATTTGTGTATCTCTGGCTGACATCCAATGAAGCAGTGTTTATACAGATCAAGTGAAATGCATCTGTGGGTGTGTTTATGTTTATGTTTGGTGAAATGTAGTTCTGTTTATCCTCTTTCAGAGAGCTGAACAATATGGGCATCTGGTACCGCATGGGGAAAGTGCCACGGACCCAAGACTCTTCACCTGTACAGAACAACTCCAGCAACAACACCACCAATAACATCCAGACGCTCACCAACAACTCCACTCCAGCGCCAGTCTTGCCCAAGTATGTGTGTGTGTGTCTGTCTGTCTGTGTTTAGTCTGAAACCTGAGGAAGTGTGAATTGTGTTTGATGAAAGAGCAGCGGAAAAAAAAAAACAAAGATCTGAAAGAAGGAAATGAAACCCAAACAACAAAAAAAAACAAGCAAACACTTGGTTAGTCATTATTTTGGCTTAAAGAGCCCATATTATACATGAAATAGGGTCATATCTTGGTTGTAAGGGTCTCCCAAGAACAGTAATATGCATGCAAGGTCAAAAAACACTTTCATGGTCTTATAATCTGCATTTATTTTTACCTAATTATCCCAGCGATTCCCGTATGAATCGTCCAGTGATTCATTTGTTCCCAAACCCCTCTTTAGCGCGAAGCTAATCTGCGCTGATTGGACCAATGACAGCCTGTTGCGATTGGTCGACTGCCTTCAGTCAGAGAGTGAAATGCACAACAGCTAGTCAGCAATATAAAAGTAATCACAGTTCATACACGCTCGATAGTGTAGGCGTGGATTTTAGCTGCCAGTGGGTCAATGTAAATACAGTCGATGGACTTGAAAATTCAGACGATTAACTATTTTATTGAGCAAAAACTCCAAAAACTGTTGAGGAGATCTCCTAGCTTGTCTCACTCTGCTCTTTTCACAGACACAAACACACACACACACACACATTGCCATCGTCCGCGCACACAAACACAAAAACACACACAGACCTCCGGGCGACAACGCGCACGCGCGCGCACACACACAAACACACACGCATACCTCCGGACGACAGCGCACGCACACACACACTACCCTCGTCCACGGAGCTCCGTAAACAAAGCAGCACGCGTCGCGTGACTTTGCACGCGATGAGAATATAGCCAGTTAACCTGATACAGTACACGCGGTTACAAGTAATAAATCACAACTAAATACATTTGCAAGCCAGAGTCAACGAGGCAACAACTTTAACCGCACGTACTTACACTTGAGAAATGGAGGAAGAAACCCATCCTGACGTCCATCAGTAAGTTACTCTTTACTGATCCTTCCTTTAACAAACGCAGATGAAGTATTCTTTGTAGCATGTAGTTTGCAGAAGTTTCCAGTAGTTTCCAACTCCTTGGCTATTATGCTGAGGTTTCATCTTTGGGTAGAGGCTCGATAATTTCCATTTGCAATGTGACTTTAATCGACTGGCATGTTTGTATGGGTGTGTTTGTGGGTGTGTCTGCGTTACTGCGTCAGAGGGCGGGGCCTCAGATTTGAAATCTCCGGGTTTGCGTGTTCACGTGAATAACTTGGTTTCGTTCGTACGTCATGGCGAAACACCTAATGACTTGGTATCAAGGCGACTCGTTTGAAGCACTATGAGTCGACTCTTTTATAAATGAATCAACCGTTTTAAACACTGTACACTAACAGATTTAAGCCTTAGCTGGATACTTCACTTCACTTAGAGCTGTGTTACACACTACATGGAGGGGAATTTTCAAAAACCCATAATATGAGCTCTTTAAGTAAATCAGCAGATCCAGGATAGTCCGTTTTTTTGGCACATATAGGTTGCATTTACACTGCAGATCTTGATGGTCAATTCCGATTTTGTGACTGTATCCGATTTTTTTTTTTTGATGACCTGCTTACATCATCTTTTATAAGTGACTCGTAGCCGATCATCTGCATTTACACAGCACACGGCAAAGGCGCAATGACCAGGAAAAAAAGAGCAAGCGCTGACTAAAAGCTGATAATTAAAGAACGCTCTTTCTCTATTCCTGAATGTAATCTGTTCGCAGCCTTTGACACGCTGTTTTACTATAGTTTATGACAGAAAGGTTCTGATTTGTCCATCTTCTTTTTAAAAATAAGCTTTTTTAAACCTTTAGGCATCTTAATGTAATCTCCATGGCGTGATTTATGCACGTGATGTATGCACAAATTTTATATTGGTCTACATTGGTTACGTGGCGGACTAGGCGCTCTCTCGCTCTCGATAACATACTTAAATACCTGTGCTATATGACAATAGTCCTCGTGTATGAGATTTAAGGTTTGCGATTCTGCTGAAGTCTGTTCTGAAAAGAAAGTGTCAGACTTGACATCATTCGCTATGCTTTTTAATGACGCGCGACTTGCATTAACAGGTAAAAATCCGATTTACCTGATTACACTGCAGACACGAGAACACAGATTCGATTCATATAGGATAAATTTCCACACATGAACAGGGCTTGAATCTGATTTGAGTCCGAATCCATGTGATTTGTTCCCGCTTACACGTACATGGGCCATATTCTATCTGTGCCACATGGGAGAAAAAAATTGAGTCACTTGAACAGTGCAGTGTAAATGCAGCCTTTCACTGAGTGGTACGGTACGGTTCGGTACGCCTTTAAGGCCGTTTCCATTGTCAAAAGGTACCAAAAAGCGAACCATACCTTACCACTTTTTGGTTACACTTTCCAAAGAAGCTGATATATCACCTATTGGACTATTGTGAACTCAGAATGACGAAATAATCCTCTCTAACAAGAGGTTACATGTGCTGGTGAAGATTAAAGATACAGATGAGAGGTTTACCTTTGGCACTATTTACAGTGGAGAATCGGACCGTATCGTACACTCAGTGGAAACGAGGCATTAGACACCAGAGTTTATACCAAAGTCTGCCTGGTTATAAACACTATTGTATATAGGGCTGCACAGTATATAAACAAAAATGATGAAAATGGGAAAAAATCATATAGTGAATTATATGAATCATATAGTAATAGTGTTTAGAGACTCATCTGAGACTTTTATGAAAGTGCACACTGGATATTGACTTTCATCCAAGATAATTATAGTTTTATTAAGACCAATTGCTTGTAAGTGACAGTGAAAACCTTATTGATGTTACCAAAAAAGTCGATATTTCAAATACATGTTTAACTATTTATTCATTAATTTTATCAACAAAAAATTCATTTTAGTATTAGAAAGAGGTTTGCTCCTTCAATTAGAATTAAAAGACCTTGTAATTAATTGAAATCATGTAATTAATTACCATTGTTTAGGAAATGATTTGCTAAGCCGGTAGATCTGATCAAATCTATATGTTTTGCTTTTAAAATTAAGTGCAATCTTTCATTTTAATTAGAGCTTGCACACTTTCTAATATTATACCGAAGTGTGCTCAAAAACCTGAGTATCCTAATACACATGCTGTGCCCCATGTGGTCTAAAACCTGACAGGTGGACAAATCTAAGCTTGCTTTTAATAAAACAAATATAAATATGGATATAATAAATAATACTGCTAATAATAATAACATTATACAACAGCAAATCGAATACAAAAAAACAAAACAAATTACTAATGTTTTGCTTTTTACACTTTACACACCTGAAACTTGCCTACAGCACTTATTCATTGTTGCTCTTATAGTTGTGTAAATTGCTTCCTTGTCCTCATTTATAAGTCGCTTTGGATAAAAGCGTCTGCTAAATGACTAAATGTAAATGTAATGCGCTTTTCTTCCCGTAAGTAATTAGTTAAATAAATTGAATTCTAACATACTTGATAATACATCCTGTTTTCCATGACGGCACCCTTTAAACTGATAAGTCAAGCATTTTGTAGTGTTTTTTTACATGCTGTTCCTGTGTAAAATGTGTGTTTTCTCACATGTATGATGTTTACGATGTTGTTTGTGTCTCTGGGTTTTCTTTGCCCGTGGCGTTTCTCTGTTTCTCCAATGAGGAAGTGTCTGTTCCAGCTGTTTCCTCTCTGTCTGTATGTGCTCTGGACACTGTCCGCCTGTGATACTGTTATATTTATAACCGGATACAACAGCACTGAAGTCACACACAAGCACAAATGTGTCTCGATGAGTGTGTGACCGTTTCTGTCTCTAGCTCCCAAACATATACGGTACATCCGGACTCGACACATTTGTGGTTCACAACAATTAAGCCGTCATATTATGGAAACATGAGATTTAACTTTTATTGATTTCATTATTTTTACCTACAGATATGATTTCACTGCATTAACAGTGTGTTTGCAATAATTAAATTACTCAAAGTCAAAACCCTTACAAATGCTCGCTTTATCTAGCGTAATGGTTTAAAACCTGTCTGTACATTTTAAGAGTGAACAATTACGTTAATTCAGAAATGGTTTTCAACACGGCTTGTTAAAAAGCAGATGCAAACGCTCATTCTTTCATCTTTCTTCCACCTGTCTTAAACAAACTGATAAATAAATGAATAAATAAATGAATAAGTACCTGTATTTTTCTGGTTGTATTATAGCAAAGAGAATGATAAATACTTAAACTGTTTGTAGCCGTTACAACCTAAAACCACTAATGTAATAGTGGTCTAAAACGTTTACTCAGTCCTGTATGATATAATAAATGATCAGTGGTGGAAAGAGTACTGAAACATCATACTCAAGTAAAAATACGAATACTTGCCTAAAAATGTAGTGTAAGTAGAGTAAAAAGTAGCCCCTTTAAAAGAGTACACTGCAAAAAATGCTTTTCTTACTTAGATTTTTTGTCTTGTTTCTAGTCCAAACATCTAAAAACTCTTAAATCAAGAAGCATTTTTTAGACAAGCAAAATGTATTCTTATCTATTCTAAAATCTATTCTATCTAATCTTGTTTTTCGATTTGTGATAAGATTATTTTGCTTACCCCATTGGCAGATTATTCAGCTTGATTTAAGGAAAGACTCGCTTCATTTTGGCATATTATTTCTTAAAACAAGACAACATGTTTTGCTTGTCTAGAAAATACTTCTTGGTTTCAGAATTTGTAGATATTTGGACTAGAAACAAGACAAAAAATCTAAGTAAGAAAAGCATTTTTTGCAGTGTAGTGAGTATTATGCTGTATAAAGCTGATGCATTTACATGTAATTTGTGGATGTGTGTAAACGTAACATTCTATAGTGCATTTAGTTATTGCCCAGCAGGCACACAACATCATAAGACGTTAATATTAGGTTAGATTTAGGTCGTGATGTCAAGTGACCAAAATCCAATGTTGAGCCAACATCTTAAACAACATCTTAACAATTTATGTCAAATACTGACATTTATTTGTCAGGCATGGCAACCAAAATCCAAAGTGTGATGGACATTGTGGTAACTTCAGCACAACGTCAAGCTGTAACATTATTAGACGATGATATTTGGTTTGTTTTAGGTTGGGCATTGGCCTGACGTTAAGTTCTGGCGTCAACACGATTTTCATATTCAAACAAAATGCGATGTCCCCATAACGTTAGGGTACAATGTCAATTTGACGTCATGTTAACGTCTTGTGCTTGCTGGCTCATCTTCTCATCAGTGATATGCATCTGAACAGTCTTTGGGTCAATGCGTTTAAAGATTTTGGACATCTTCTTGGACACTTTTAGTGCTTTCAAACAGTTTGCTGCATTTATAAAGCGCGCATGTCTTCAGGTAGTTCATTATGATGTGATTTACCTTCTGTGTGTGATTTGATTGGACAGGAATCACAGGACTGAACTTTCTAATCCCCAGAGACAACAAAAAATAAAGTAGTGACTGCAGGTTGAAGGAAATTAGCGGAGTAAAAGTACCGATACAGCACTAAAAATGTACTCAAGTGAGAGTAAAAGTACAGTTTTTAAAAACTACTCACTAAATTACAATTCCTGAGGAAAAACTACTTAATTACAGTCATTTGAGTATTTGTAATTAGTTACTTTACACACTGAAAATGATTATACATTTTCAGTTTGTTCAGTATCTGTCAAAGTTGTCAGTCAGATAAAAAGAGACATTTGGTCTATTTTCAGCAGCAAATGTGGTTTTCTTCTTTTTATTGTAAGCTGACGACACTCTGATATTAATAGTGAGGCTAAAGAAAGTGTGCTGAATGTTTATTTGACTGAGTAATGTTTGTTTTCTGTTTGTGTTTCTTAACAGGCACATATCCATGACGCTGCCCGCATGTTTCAGAAAAAGCACAACCAGACCAGACTTTGAACACCAGAACTCCAACCTCTATGCCATTTCTGGTACCAGAACCGCACAAAACACACTTGACCTAGACAAAAACTTCTTATACAATGCTGGAACCAACAAATACAGATGGAGAGAAATATTTGAATATAAAAATGTGCACACCTTCTCAGATTAAAGAAGCCATCAACTCCTTGTTGAGTGTTAGAAATAAGTTTGCTCCTTCAATTAGAATTAAAAGACCTTGTAAATAATTAAAATCATATAATTCATTACCATTGTTTAAATGATTAGCTAAACCAGTAGACTTTTTTGCAAGATAATTATAGTTTTGTCAATGATAGTTTTATTAAGACCAATTACATTGCTCGTGACAGTGAAAACCTTAATAAAATTACCAAAAAAGTCAATTTATTCATTGATTTTATCAACAAAAATGCAGACTGACTTTGACACTGCCTATTTGCCTTTACAGCGATGGATGGAGTGCCTTTCATGATTTCTGAGAAGTTTGCAAGTGCCTCCACTGATGTGAGTCTGTTTTTTTAAGTCATCTCATGCTTCATGGATTGTCTGTAGGCTGCAAAGATAAAAAAAAAAATTAGATACAGTTGAAGTCAGATTTATTAGCCCCCCTGTTTATTTTTTTCCCCTAATTTCTGTTTCACAGAGAGCAGATTTCTTCAACACATTTCTAATCATAATAGTTTTAATAACTCATTTCTAATAACTGATTCATTTTATCTTTGTCATGATGACAGTAAATAATATTTGACTAGATATTCTTCAAGACACTTCTATACAGCTTAAAGAGACATTTAAAGGCTTAACTAGATTTACTAGGTGAACTAGGCAGGTTAGGGTAATTAGGCAATTTAATGTATAACAATGGCTTGTTCTGTAGACTATCAAAAAAAAAAAAATGCTTAAAGGGGCTAACCATTTTGTCCCAAAATTTATTTATTTATTTTTGAAAATAAAAACTACCTTTATTCTAGCCAAAATAAAACGAATAAGATTTTTTCCAGAAGAAAAAATATTATCTGACATACTGTGATTTTTTTTTTTTCCTCTGTTAAACATCATTTGGCAAATATTTAAAAAATATTTATCAAAGGGGGGCTAACAATTCTGACTTCAACTGTATATTTGTGTCGAGATAAACATTATAGAATTTAAAGGATAAAAGAGCAACAGACATAGTTTTTTCTTTAGTTTTGTAGTTTAAAAGGCTCTTATTTTACCCCTGTCAGAAGATAAGTCATCTTTGGTGTCTCCAGAATGTGTCTGTAAAGTGTCAACTCAAAATACCCATCAGATTATTTATGACATAATGCAGAATCTGCTCACTTTGTTCTTAGAGCAAAGTGTAGCTGTTTTCTAGCCTGTGCCTTTAAATGCAAATAAGCTGGTTCTCCCCGCCCACTGTTCTCACATGCATGTCTGTTTCTCTTGTGTTACGTCAAATAAACAGCAGTCAGTGACAGAGACAGACACGCATGAAGCCGAGGTTCGATTTATAAGTAAAAAAAAATACCAAGTCAGGTTGTTTGATGTATTTGTGGTGGAGTTCATTCAAGCCTTTCTGCAATGATGAGTCACACACTCTGTTGTTACAGAGTTTGAAGTACACTCATTTTTTAGGCTGCAGGTGATGATAAAGAGCTGAACAGATCTTTTAATCAAAGTTTCTTTGCAAATCCTGTTCTGTGGACATGTTTATACACATTACGATGGAGACATCCAAATCTCAGTGAGTACAGTTTTCTCCACACACCAAATTAATTGATACGCGCCTGTCAATTAATTCGGTGGGCGGAGAAAACTGCACTCACTGAGATTTGGATTCTATTTTAACATTATAAAAGTAAAAAAAAAGAGACTTGTTGTGTTTCAATCTCTCTGATATGACTGTGGACACACTATACCTATACACAGTTCTGTCCAAACAGCTTACAAAAGTTGATTGTCATCATAGGTGCAGTTCTGTATTTTGTGTTTGCAGATAAACATGTTTTAGGTGCTTTTAACAAACACTGATCCAAACATGTTATTGAATATGTCTTTAATGTTTGTTGTTGGTCTGAATGTGTTTCTGTGTGTTTCAGTTGCAGCAGGTGGATCTAATGGGCATCAGAATTAAATCACTTGCAGAGATTGAGAAGGAGGTGAGGATCTGTTGGGTTTGAATTGTGACAAGTGGAATTTAGTTAGATTTTTCTAGATCAGTTGGATTTTATTTTATTTTCTAGCAGGTGATTTAATGCTAACATGTTTTACATTGTGTTTTTATAACTAAACAAAAGCTTTAATCTTATTCAGCAAGGCGTGGAATTTCTCTTTGTAGAGTTTTATCAACTGCCACCTCAATTCTAGATGTGCAAATGCACTGTCCAAGCTTAAAGGGATAGTTCACTCAAAAAAGAAAATCATCTCATCATTTAGGCCCCGTTTACACTAGTGCGCTTTAGTTTTAAAACAACGTTTCAGAATGTAAACGATCCGCACTAGCGGGTCACCCAGCGTTCCTGAACTGATTTCCGTCCACACCAAAACGCTAAAACGCACATCGCGTGACCACACACACACTCTCTGGCAAGCGCTGCAGCTTATCTACCCAGATGATAGCTGTGCTAATCAAGGATCTCCCATGGATCTAATCTCACTATATTTGCTAAACGTGATATTTAATTCATCTTGTATGTCTTTATCTAACGAAATATTCCCTGACTTTGGTCTTTTGAATCTAATACTTGTTTTTGGGTAACGTGTTTTGGCTGAGCGCAAAGATAAATTAATAATTAATCCAACTACATACATTCCCTATATTGAGTAATTGCTTGCCTTTATTTCCTATATTGTATAAACTTATTGTACGTTATACTTTTATAATGGCCATTATTGATTATTAAAATTGATATTCAGCAATAGAGAGGGCATGTTTCGTAATTTCAATGAAAATGAAAGGAGGCAGTAGTGTTATCGGCTCCGTTTTGTTATGAATACGCATACAGCGAAAATGACGCTCATATATGCAGCACAACGCCTCAACATTTCTGCTGTCTTGTTAAGTTGTTAATAACAAAATGAAAATAGTAGTTCCTTCATGTTTTTATTTTATTGTTAAGAAAGTGAAACAACGTAGCCAGGAAGATGTGAATAAGGTTATACAGTACTCTGTTCCCTTTGAAGATTTACCCGATATATCCTCGGGAGTCTGTTTTCCATATTAAACTTGCAAAGTCTGAACTTACAAGGAGAGGATGCAGGACTGAACTGTGTGTAGGCTACTTAATATTGAAGATAATCCCCAATCAGAGGCGAATGTCTGCAGCCCCGCCTCCGTTTTCAGATGTCTCCGTTTTCCCCCATATCCACTGAGACGGAGCAGCAGTGTTTTAGATTGAAAGCGGCCTCTCCACCGTTTTCAAAACGCTCCGTTTTCAGCGTTCGAAAACATCGGCATAGTGTGCTCGGATAGCGTATTCATAGCAAAACTTATGCATTTTAAAACCAAAACGCATTAGTGTAAACGGGGCTTTATTCTCTCTCATGTGGTTTTAAACCTTTATGAGTTTAAAAACACAAAAGAGAAAACACAAAAGAAGACATTTTAAAGAAAGCTGCAAACCTGTAGCCATTGACTTCTTATGTATGTCAATGGTTACATGTTTCTAACATTCTTCCAAATATCTATTTTGGTTTCAACAGAACAAATAAAAACTCAAACTGTTTAAAATAAAGTGGAAGGTGAGTAAATGAAATGATAGCAACATTTGCTTTTCGATGCACTGTCTCTTTCAATTGTTTCTATTCATGAATGCTTTGTAATAATTTGATCTTTTTAAAGGAGACACTCATCAGATCATTTCCAAAATGTGAATGTTATATGTATATAAAAAAACAATTATGACATGAAGTAGTGCTCTAAAAGATGCGTTACCAAAAATTGCCACAAAGTGGCACACACTCTCCATTGAGGTTTTTTTTTTTTGCGCTCTTCAATGACAAATCCATTAATTTCTTTAACAATATCACTGCTATCACAAATCAGACACCAGCTGTGAAGCACTGAGTTTCACACATTTCCAACCATATGTGTGTTTTCAAGACTGTAAAAGATAGATGGATAGATGGATAGAATAAAAGTAGTTTTCAATTTTTTTAAACCCCATTTTAAGGTCAAAATTATTAGCCCCCTTAAGCTATTTTTTTTCATTAGTCTACAAAACAAACCATCGTTATACAATAACTTGCCTAATTACCCTAATCTGCCTAGTTAACCTAATTAAGCCTTTGAATGTCACTTTAAGCTGTATAGAAGTGTCTTGAAAAATATATAGTCAAATATTATTTACTGTCATCATGGCAAAGATAAAATAAATCAGTTATTAGAGATGAGTTAATAAAATAATAATGTTTAAAAAAATCTCTGTTAAACAGATATTGAGGAACAAAATAACATGGGGGGGCTAATAAATAAGGGGGGGCTAATAATTATATATATATATATATATATATATATATATATATATATATATATATATATATATATATATATAAATTTATTAATTTATTTATGGATGGAGTAAAAAAGTAAAACAAACACACATACATACTTTGTGTGTGCAAAATTAAGTGTTTTAAAAGTTTGAGTTCCGCATTCTAAAAGATGCATTAAATATTAATAGTGACAGTCAAAACATTTATAATTAATAAAAAAAAAAGATTTCTAAAGATTTAAATGAATCCATTTTTTCACTTTTTATTTTTTTGAATCCTAATAATAGAAAAAGCTTAGTTTCATATAAAAATAGCTGATAAGAAATGCACAACATACAATGCACTTGGCCTAAAATATCATTTAGCATATTTTGTTCTGTAATGTTGAGTTCAGTTTTAGATCATTAAGGATCATTGGACCAGCAGCTGTTTTTGGTGGAACCACTAGAGGTCAGTGTTTCCCATGAATGGTGTGTTTACCTTTTTCTCTCTGTGTGTTTTTGTGTTAGTATGAATATAGTTTCCGGACGGAGCACAGTGCTGCGGCGCGTCTGCCACCCAGTCCAACCAGAACATCTCTGGGCTCCGAGGCCTAACGTTCACAAAAAAAAAACCCTGATCTGAGCACAGACTCTCTGAGGTCAAAACAGAAACCTGCAACAAGTCTGACGGAGGGGGAACATAATAAGATACTGTTTGCTTCTCTCTGTGAACAAAATTAACAAGTATCATTTGATGTGGTCAAGTCTCTCTTAAGTTGATGCTCCTTTTTATTGTTTGGTAAAGAGCTTCTGATGCTACCCCGATCAAACCCAAACCACTACAGTGTCATCTGAAAGGATGGAAACAGACTCGATTTCTGTTATTATGCAACAAGTATTGTGTATTCAGACTTTTCTGGCTGCTGGATTGAGATGCTGTTACTATTGTGGGTTCTTATTAAGGGTCGGACTTGGACAAACCCTTAGGAATTCACAATTGAGTTCATGCGTCAAGTGCATGGATCAGAAGAGTTCCATTTGTTTGCTTCTGTTTCATTTAGATCGCAGTGACTGCATGTTTATTTTTTTTTTCACTTTTTTTTTCTGGATTGGTTTGGAAATGGAGCCCAATTCACTGCACTGTTACAGGACTGAAGCGTTTTAATGTGTTCGTGTTTTGTCTGGAAAAAGAGATTCGAACAAAACACTCCGACTCTGAACGAACCCTTGTACATATAGACAGTCGAGGAATCCGGAGCGCGACTTTTTAGCATTGTGTGTTTTCTGTTTTCGTCTGTGTAATGTCTGATCTATCTCTCCGCTTACCATTGGTCAAGATTTACTGAGATTTTACTTGTTTTCAGTCTCATGTTAGGATTTTCAGTGGCGCTCGTGCACTGGTCCGTTTGTGGCTTCCGAAGTTCATGGTGATATTTTTGTGAATTTAGTTTTTTTTTATCATTATTAACAAGTGAAAATGTCTGCAGGATTTATTTCCCTTCAAAATATGAAGAAAAAATGAGAAATTAAAAGTAGCATTGAGAAAACAAAGCTTATAAACAATCTCATTACTGAAATAATCAAATTTTCCACACAGATTCTCATTACTGCAATGCAAAAAGATCATTTATTACTAGTAAAAATTACAAAAATGAGAAATTTAAATGTGCATTAATAAAACAAAAGTTCTTTACATTTTCATGACTGAACTAAATACATTTTCCTCACAGATTCTCATTACTGCAATGCAAAAATATCATTTATTACTAGTAAAAATTACAAAAATGAGAAATTAAATGTGCATTAATAAAACAAAACTTATATACATTTTTATGACTGAACTAAATACATTTTCCTCACAGATTCTCATTACTGTAATGCAAAAATATCATTTATTACTTGTAAAAAAAGATACATTTAAATTTGGATTAACATAACAAAGCTTATATACAATCTCATGACTGAACTAATCACATTTTCCACACAGATACTCATTACTGTAATGCAAAAATGTCATGTATTACTAGTAAAAATGACAAAATTTTAAATAATTAAATAAGCATTAAGAAAACAAGACTTAAATACATTTTCATGACTGAACCAATTAAATTTTCCACACAGATACTCATTATTGTAATGCAAAAATATCATTTATTACTAGTAAAAAAGCAAAATTTAAATTAACATTAATAAAACAAAACTTATATACATTTTCATGACTGAAATAATCTGATTTTTCCACACAGATTCCCATTACTCTAATGCAAAAATATCATTTATTACTAGTACCTATGACAAAAATTGAAATGAATTAAAATAAGCATTAATAAAACAAAACTTATACATTTTCATGACTGAACCAATTAAATTTTCCACACAGATTCTCATTATTGTAATGCAAAAATATCATTTATTATTAGTAAAAGTGACAAAAATTTTAGATTGAAATGTGCATAAATAAAACAAAACCTAATATACATTTTCATGACTGAACTAAATAAATTTTCGATATAGATTGTCATTGCTGTAATGCAATAATATCATTTATTACTAGTAAAAATGACAAAAATGATAATCCAAAATGTGCATTTAATAAAACAAAACTTATACATTTTCATGAGTGAGTTAATCAAGTTTTCCACACAGATACGTATTACTGTAATGCAATAATTTATATTACTAGTTAAAAATCTAAATGTAAATTGGGATTAATAAAACAAAGCTTGTAAACAATCTCACGACTGAAATAATCAAATTTTCCACACAGATTCTCATCACTGATGATGTGACAATAAAAGTGATTTGATTACTGCAATGCAAAAAGATCATTTATAACTAGTAAAAATTACAAAAATGAGAAATTTAAATGTGCATTAATAAAACAAAAGTTCTTTACATTTTCATGACTGAACTAAATACATTTTCCTCACAGATTCTCATTACTGTAATGCAAAAATATCATGTATTACTAGTAAAAAAAGATACATTTAAATTTGGATTAATATAACAAAGCTTATATACAATCTCATGACTGAGCTAATCACATTTTCCACACAGATTCTCATTACTGTAATGCAAAAATATCATTTATTACTAGTAAGAATGACAAAAATAATTAAAATAAGCATTAAGAAAACAAGACTTAAATACATTTTCATGACTGAACCAATTAAATTTTCCACACAGATACTCATTATTGTAATGCAGAAATATCATTTATTACTAGTTTAAAAAGCTAAATTTAAATTAACATTAATAAAACAAAACTTAAATACATTATCATGACTGAAATATTAAGAATTTTCACACAGATTCTCATTACTCTAATGCAAAAATATCATTTATTACTAATAAAAATGACAAATATTTTAGATTAAAATATGCATTAATAAAACAAAACTTATATACATTTTCATGACTGAACTAATCATGTTTTCCAACCAGATTCTCATTACTGTAATGCAAAAATATCATTTATTACTAGTAAAAATGAGAATTTAAAAGGAGCAGGAAAAACAGGTCTTGCATACATTTTCGTGACTGAATTAATTACATTTCCCTCAGAAATACTCATTACTGTAATGCTACAATATCATTTATTACTAGTAAAAATAATACGAATGTAAAATAAAATTAGCATTGAGAAAAACTCTTTTTCACACAGATTCTCATTACTGTAATGCTACAATATCATTTATTACTAGTTAAATGAGAAATTAAAATCAGCATTCAGAAAACAAAACTTGTATACATTTTCATGACTGAACTAACATTTTTCACACAGACTCATTACTGTAATGCTAACATATATAGTATTAAGGATGAAATCTTACTAGTAAAAATCATAAAAATGATGAATTAAAATTAGCATTAAGCGAATAAAATATAGATATTCATTACATCTAGGTTTCACTTTATTTGATGTTCCCTTCAATGCATTTTGTAGAATTTAAGTTGCATTGCATCTACATGCCAACCAATTGCCATTAGATTAAAAGTACACTGTTAGTTAGTGTAACTTGACATGTACTTGCAGAGTTTCTTATAGTCAGTTAAATGTCTGTTGAAGGAGCAGCATCAGCAGATATTAAGCAGACAGTCTACTAATACTCGAATGAGAAGTAACTGGCATGTAGTTGCAATGCAACTTTGTCAACAAAATGTGCAATCGGAAGCATCAAAGTCTTACCGACAGCTATAATTATCCACATAGAAACCCATTATTTTAATATGAACAAATGTGATTTTTATTATAAATACCAATTAAAAAAAGAATGAAAACTACATTTCTGTATTTTGTGATTCACAAGTGTTTATTTCTGGTTGTGAATTGCATTATGGGATGTGGATCCCTGCTCTGTCCACTTTTAATGTTGAAAGTTCAACTCTACAGTTGAACAAAGTGACTTTTACTGACATTTTAGTAGTTTGAAATAATATAATAAATAATATCTAGAGAAATAAGTCTGTAAAAAAACAGAAAATGATTATTGCTAGGTGTTTGTAACGTTATATACAACACAAACCCAGACAACAGATAACTTTAAACTAATAAACATGTTCATAAAAAACACTATTCAAGCTTTTTCAAGTTAAAACGTTGTTGGAAGGAAGATCAAGGTCTAATAATCTATAAATAAACGAGGAAAGAAAAACAGGAATTACAAAATACGGAAAACGGCTAATTTAGGGAAATATTTTGCCGTGTAATATTAATTTGAGGCATATTTAAAATTGTTCTGTCATTAAATAGGTAAAAGCATTGCCATATGTTTTAATTTTAAACTACTGTAAAAAGATTGACTTTATTTGAGGGAATTGTGTTCAATTACAGTAATAAGTGACTTGACTGGGGAAAATATGTCAGTACAATAATAAGTTGGAGTGAAAATATTGTTACAATGCAAGCTTCTTTATGCCAAATACAATTTCTCATTTCTATCTTTATATTTTCGGGATGACCTGCACATTTCGTGACAGCTTTTGTGAGATCCACCTGAATATCCAGAACAAGCTTCATCGTTAGCTGATGACTTTTTTTCGTAAACTGTTGAATCCTTCACACAGTGAACTTTAGAGTCGGCATTTGTCCACGTGATTCGCTCCTTGTGCCACTGCGTCTTCTTTCTTAATATGGTAAAGATTATCGGTGGAAGTACAGTGTTATTATTTGCGGGTGTTTCTGCAAAACGCCCTGCTGAAACAGCCATCTCAGGTGAAAATGTTCGGTTTGGAAACACCAAGTGTCTGGGTGATTAAAGAAGTCAATCCCTTTGTGTGGTTTGACAACTTCACTGTGAGACTTTAAAGGATAACTCCACTTCTTTGGGGGAAAATAGGCTCATTTTATAGCTCTCCTAGAGTAAACAGTTAAGTTTTAACCAGGTTTTGAATCCGTTTAGCTGATCTCTGGGTCTGGCAGGAGCACTTTTAGCTTAGCTTAGCATAGATAATTGAATTGGATTAGACCATTAGCATCTTGCTATGAAAATAACCAAAGACTTGATGAATTCCTATGTAAAGCTTGACTCTTCTGTAGTTACATCATGAACTAAGACAGACAGACAATTAAATATGTGCTATTTTTATGGTACAGCAGCAAAGTTCATTGCTTATTAAGAAATAAGCAATGAACTTTGCTGCTGTACCATAAAAATAGCACATTTTAATTTTTTATTTAATAATGAGAGTAGTTCCTAGACATACCAGCCTAGAAAACAACAACTTTTCATTACCTGATGGTCTTAGTACACAATGAAACTACAGAAGAGTCAAGGAAAATGATCAAAACTCTGGTTGTTTTTGAGTGAGATGCTAATGGTCCAATCCGACTCAATGATTTATGCTAAGCTAAGCTAAAAGTGGTTCCGCCACACCCAGAGATCAGCTGAATGGAGTCAAAGATAACTGTTTACTCTATGAAAGCTGTAAAATGAGCCTATTTTCAATACAAAATAGTGGAGTGTTCCTTTAATCCAACACTCAGATGGGTTTTAGATGACTTATGTTGGGTTATAATGCTCAAGCAGCTATACAGTTACATGTTTTAACCACTATTTTGACTTTTAGGATGTTCTTTTATCATTTCAATTCTGAAATTAACCACAAATCTGGTGCATTTTTTTTTGTTTGTTTGTTTCAAGTCGACAACTTTATACTGTAATACAATTTAAAATCCAAGAATAGTTGAGATTATCTCACTGTAAAAAGCCATTAGTTACTTGTAATAGGTCAGTGAATCTGTTGCATTAAAAGCAACAGGTTCACTGTGTTTAAAATAAAACAAAAGTGTAACTTGGACTTAAGTTGATTTAATTCATTAAATTACATGAATAGTATACCTAATAATACATTAAAAGCAATGGGTTTTCTCACTTTATCCAAAGTAAATGAGTTTACCTGTCTTTTATTTTAAGTAAAGTCAACTAATCTCTTTTTGCAGTGCTGGAAAACCAATCCTAGGTTTATCATTTGAAGGAAAACAGGAACCAAAATTGTTGTTTACCGTTGTATGTTAATTTGGTGTTCAAAATCACATGTTGATATTGATTATTAAATTAATTTAACATATAAAAAAATCACACAGAGTAACCCCCTATAGGAATGCATGTGGCATTTTTCTATTTTTTAAACATTAAAATGAGGATTTTTCCTATTTAAAGCTGGACTCTTCTGTAGTTACTTTGTTTATTAAGACAGACGGAAATTTCAAAGTTGTTATTTACTCTCGCTAGAATGAGAGTCGCAGTATCAGCCTAGAAAATAGCACTATTTTATTTTCCAACGGTGGCGAGGGTAAATAACTTCTTTTTAAGAACAAAATTTCCAGACGGTCTTGGTACACAGTTTAACTACAGAAGAGTCCAACTTTAAATAGGAAAATTGTCGAAAATCTTTGGTGATTTTTGAATGAGATGGTAATGGTCTAATCTGAATCAATGATTTATGCTAAGCTAAGCTAAACGTGGTCCTGCCAGACCCAGATATCAGCTGAATGGAGTCAAAGATAACTGTTTACTCTAGGAAAGCTATAAAATGAGCCTATTTTCCCCCAAAATAGTGGAGTGTTCCTTTAATCCAACACTCAGATGGGTTTTAGATGACTTATGTTGGGTTATAATGCTCAAGCAGCTATACAGTTACATGTTTTAACCACTATTTTGACTTTTAGGATGTTCTTTTATCATTTCAATTCTGAAATTAACCACAAATCTGGTGCATTTTTTATGTTTGTTTGTTTCAAGTCGACAACTTTATACTGTAATATAATTTTAAATCCAAGAATAGTTGAGATTGTCTCGCTGTAAAAAGCCATACGTTGCTTTACTTTTAATGGGTCAGTGAATCTGTTGCATTAAAAGCATCAGGTTGACTGTGTTTAAAATAAAACAAAAGTGTAACTTGGACTTAAGTTGATTTAATTCATTAAATTACATGAATAATATACCTAATAATACATTAAAAGCAATGAGTTTTCTCACTTTATCCAAAGTAAATGAGTTTACCTGTCTTTTATTTTAAGTAAAGTCAACTAATCTCTTTTTGCAGTGCTGGAAAACCAATCCTAGGTTTATCATTTGAAGGAAAACAGGAACCAAAATTGTTGTTTACCGTTGTATTTGGTGTTCAAAATCACATGTTGATATTGATTATTAAATTAATTTAACATATAAAAAATCACACAGAGTAACCCCCTATAGGAATGCATGTGGCATTTTTCTATTTTTTTAAACATTAAAATGAGGATTTTTCCTATTTAAAGCTGGACTCTTCTGTAGTTACTTTGGTTACTAAGACAGACGGAAATTTCAAAGTTGTTATTTACTCTCGCTAGAATGAGAGTCGCAGTATCAGCCTAGAAAATAGCAGCATTTTATTTTCCAACGGTGGCGAGGGTAAATAACTTCTTTTTAAGAACAAAATTTCCAGGCGGTCTTGGTACACAGTGTAACTACAGAAGAGTCCAACTTTAAATAGGAAAATTGTCGAAAATCTTTGGTGATTTTTGAATGAGATGCTAATGGTCTAATCTGAATCAATGATTTATGCTAAGCTAAGCTAAACGTGGTCCTGCCAGACCCAGATATCAGCTGAATGGAGTCAAAGATAACTGTTTACTCTAGGAAAGCTATAAAATGAGTCTATTTTCCCCAAAAATAGTGGAGTGTTCCTTTAATCCAACACTCAGATGGGTTTTAGATGACTTATGTTGGGTTATAATGCTCAAGCAGCTATACAGTTACATGTTTTAACCACTATTTTGACTTTTAGGATGTTCTTTTATCATTTCAATTCTGAAATTAACCACAAATCTGGTGCATTTTTTTATGTTTGTTTGTTTCAAGTCGACAACTTTATACTGTAATATAATTTTAAATCCAAGAATAGTTGTGATTGTCTCGCTGTAAAAAGCCATACGTTGCTTTACTTTTAATGGGTCAGTGAATCTGTTGCATTAAAAGCATCAGGTTGACTGTGTTTAAAATAAAACAAAAGTGTAACTTGGAATTAAGTTGATTGTTTTAATATTATTGTTATGCACATATAATTATTATAATATACCTAATAATACATTAAAAGCAATGGGTTTACTCACTTTATCCAAAGTAAATGAGTTTACCTGTCTTTTATTTTAAGTAAAGTCAACTAATCTCTTTTTGCAGTGCTGGAAAACCAATCCTAGGTTTATCATTTGAAATAAAACAGGAACCAAAATTGTTGTTTGACCTCAATAATTTGGTTCTCAAAATCACATGCAGATATTGATTATTAAATTAATTTATCATAAAAACACACAGAGTAACCCCCTATATGAATGCATGCAGCGTTTTTCTGTTTTATAAACGTTAAAATGAGGATTTAATTTGCCATTTGATTGTGCTCTCTTGTCTAATTATTTAATGATTTTATATGAAGACTAATTTAAGTGTTTAGGAATGTATAGCGATGTTGTCCCCACATTTTTTTTGTTGGAATAGTTGAGTGTGTTTTCCGAACTGGTCACACAGACAAATACAATAAAAGACGTTTAGTTAATGCAACTGCGTGAATAAACTAATGTTCGCCCTTTTATGAACTGTTCATTGTGTGTCATGCAGTCGTTGTTTTGCTTCTTGCTGTGTGTTTGTCATTTGCATTGTCAGTAGATTTAAGTTTCTTGCTTATATAAATGTGAATAGGAGTTTTGACTGCTGGGTGAATTTTGTGATTTGTTATTGGTTAGAATAACTCTTCATGCATTTCTTGTCGAAAGAGAAATTTTGGACGTTTATTCGTTTTTGTTCCGTTTGACGAGAGCACCCCAAAACCATTCATGCAACAAATTTCTTGAGTGAGTTCTGTAATAACAATATACTCTACCTGACAAAAGTCTTGTGGCCTATCCAAGTTTTAGGAACAGCAAATGACAACTTGACTTGAGTTGATCATTTGGTATCAGAGGTGGCTTATATGAAAGGGAAAGGCCTCTAGATTACACTTATTTTACCACAATAAAATATGATCATGCCTTGATTTTGAATGATTTCATTAGGACAGTAAAGTCTGACTCTGCTAAGACAAAAGTCTCATCACTGAACAGAAATATTGTCCAGCATAGATTATAAAGTCCTGCTGCAGTGGAGACAGAATGAATATTGTGTCTGACTCCATCATGAGCTTGGAGGACTGCATCCATACATCTCTGACATGACTCAAATCACTGATTAATAAAGTCATCTGGAATGGCAAAGAAAGCGTTCCTGCAGGACTCCCAGAGTTCATCAAGAGTCTTTGAATTCATCTTCAATGCCTTCAATGTAATTCGCTCTTTACGTACTTCATTATTTTCCCTGTTGTTCTATTCATTCTCTTTTTCTGTCTCTCTCAAATTTATTTATTATTATTATTATTATTACTATTATTATTATTATTACATATATATATTTTTTTTCCTTAAATATTTTCCCTCTACCTCAACAGATCCAACAACAGATTAAATAGTAACAATTATTTTGAAAAAAAAAAAAATAAACAGAACCAAAATGAGACTCAAAAGATATATCGGCTGTATTAGTTTATTAAATGCAAATCAGACAAATGTAAACAACTGAATGGAGCATACGTCTTATTATTCAGTCAAAACATGGTGCCAAACAATTAACAACAGTGTGAGAGACACGCATATAAATATGTATGTAAGTCTATTCACTAATGGTCAAGATGATTTGAAGTTCCCGGATGAGCCTGTGTTATTTAGTGATTGTTGTCTCAGAATAACATACCTTGGAATGTCGTAACTGACCAATCAGGATCAATGAATTTTACACAGCGTCTCTGGAATACTTGATTCTTATTGGTCAGTAATGACATTCTAATGTGTGTTCAGAGATAACAACCACTGAAACTAATAACACAGGCTCATCGGGTGATATAAATAAAAATCTTGCTAATAATTTTGACCTTAAAACGGCTTTAAAAAAATAAAAACTGCTTTTATTTTAGCCGAAATGAAACAAATAAGACTTTTTCCAGAAAAAAATATATTATAGCAAATACTGTGAAAAAAAATCCTGAATCTGTTAAACATCTTTTGGGAAATATTTGACAAAGAAAAAGAAAATTTACAACAGGGCTAATAATTTTGACTTCAACTGTACCTTAGAATGTCATTATCAGCCAATGACTGTTTTTAGCCAATCAATCAGAGCCAATATTTCTTAATAACAATGGGTTCTGAGTTCTAGATTTGACTTGATTAAGCCAAACGCATTTTGACTTGTTTGATATTTTGCTTTTAAATGTAAACGTTAGCACATGCCGCAATTTTACCAGAGTTTCACCACAGAGTACTGCATGTTTACTGGAACTCTGCCTTTGTTTTGGGTTCACAAACGTTCTGATCTTCCTGTGGCCATTTGACAAGTCACTTTATTTAGATTGAACATGCGCAACAAACCACAGCCTTCAAGACTTCAGGCATAAAAAAAATGCCCTCAAATGCTGCAGATGGTTTTGGGGAATTTGCTGCTGTTTGTGCGGCTTTTTAAATGACTTAATAGAATGAAGAGTTAAACAAAATCACAGCTAAGCATGTTTATTGACAATGATTGAGCTTTTAAGAAACTGCTTAAAGGTCGTTCCATTCTCTTTAATAATCATGACATCTTGGCTCTGGTTTATGCTCACTTTTATAGGTTCAATTTATCCAAATATTCAGTTTCCTTATTAACTTTTCTGTATTGTTCAAATTGATCACGCTTTTGTTATGTTGGTGGCTGTTTTTGCCCCATTGACTTCCATTACAATTACATTTTTTGATTGCAAAGCGATGACACCATATAATCATGCATCTTTATTGTTGCTGGTTTTCCCCTTTAAAGTTTGTCATTTTTACTGGTATAAACTAAATATAATAACAGTAATAATATGATGTCATTGCATTGCAATAAAAAAAACACAATAGCCTCATTCTGAAAACATAACTCCTATACATGTTACTGGAGATCGCTGCATTTCCTCTTTAAAACGAATGCTACGGGACGGTGTAATGCTGTTCCTTTTCGCGCTTACCAGCTGACCCCTTACCTTCGTGTGGACTACTTACCCGCTGTTACCAGTTTGTCCAGTAGCTCGCCATGTACGTCAGTAGACTTGAGACACAGAGAGGAGTTGACCACGATGACAGGGTTTGAGTCCGGCGAAGAACGGTTCTAGAAAGCCGGTAAGACAAAAACAGACGCCAAAAAGTAAAATAAACAAGTAAATAACAGGGTGAGAATGTGCTAAAATCTCAATATTGAGATTACTGCTCTAAAATATATATTTTTTAAATGTCTGGGTAAAAAACTAAAACCCCTGTGTACACAATATTTATTAATTTGGAAAACATTTAAAATATTTCTGAACAGAAAACATGTCAGACTAAAGAATTCAAATGAATTACCTATGGAGATCTTTCCTGCTGGAGATACAGTTGTCCCAAAAAAAAAAAAAATGTATGTATATATACATAAAATGTACATACAAAATCGTACTCATACCCTAGAAACGGTATAGCAGAACATTTTGACAGTTTTAAAACCTTGACTTTTCCAAACCACAGTATACCTTGAACACTGTTATCGTCCTATGCCAAGTTGTAAAGAGTGGTTAATTGAGTTTCTGTTGCCTTTCTACCAGTTGGAGCCAGTCTGGCCATTCTCCTCTGACCTCAACAAGGTATTTGCACCCAGAGAACTGCCGCTCACTGCATATTTTCTCATTTTCGGACCATTTTCTGTAAACCCTAGAAATGGTTGTGCGTGAAAATCCCAGTAGATCACCAGTTTCTGAAATACTCAGACCAGCCCATCTGGCACCAACAACCATGCCACATTCAAAGTCACTTAAATCAACTTTCTTTCCCATTCTGATACTCAGTTCAATCTGCAGCAGATCTTGACCATGTCTACATGCCTAAATGCATTGAGTTGCCGCCACGTGATTGGCTGATTAAAAATTTGCGTAAGCAAGCAGTTGGACAGGTGTACCTAATAAAATGGCCCTTGAGTGTATCCCTCTTTGTGTTCAACAGATGAAAGAGAACAGGAACAAGTAGAGAATGAGTAAGTAATGACATAATAATCGTTTTAGGTGAACAATCCCTTTAATTATGAACGAACAAGGATTCAGATCCAAAAAAAGGTCACAGTCAACCTAAATGAAGACAATGCTAAATCAGAATCAATTTTCACGTGGAGCTACTGGATTCTGGATGGTTATCTAAACATTTGACTGCAATGCCCAGTGGTTGAGGTAATAAATACTTTTGCGGCAGTCCTTGAGGGCCACTGGGTTGCAGAGTTTAACTCCAACCCGAATCAAACACCTGCCTGTAGCTTTCTAGTAATCTTAATCCTTGTGTACTGTTCAAATGTACTACCCTTTGGATATGTTGGTGGCTGTTTTCTCTATTGACTTTCATTATAATGACATTTTTGATTGCAAAGCCTTGACACCATCAGCTAATCATGCATTCTTGATTGTTGGTGGTTGTCCATGTTGGGAAGAGTGTAATTTGTACTGTTGATCATCAGATGGCAGCATTAACTTTTTAGATAGGCCTACAGCTTTAAAGTTTCTGGCTTTTATATGAGTTCTATGGAGTAAGACAGTAAAGTGTGCGTGCATAAGTACACTTACTGTACTATGTTTACTATGTTCTGAAAGCTGAGCTGCTTGTTTCGATTTTCTCAGACATATCAAGGTAATTGCACAAAGGTCTCACACACTATACTCTATATAGAAGTCTAAGCTTTTTGTTCGCACTGCAACCCTACTAAAAAAAAAAAAGCTTAAACCAGTCTAGGCTGGTTGGCTGGTTTTAGCTGGTCGACCAGGCTGGTTTTAGAGGGTTTTTTGTCCATTTCCAGGCTGGTCAGGCTGGGAGATGACCAGCTAAAACCAGCTTGACCAACCTACCCAGGCTGGGAGCCCAGCCAAAACCAGCTTTGTCCAGCTTAAACCAGGCTGGTCAAGCTGGTTTTAGCTGGATTTAGCTGGTCATTTTCCAGGCTGAATAGCTAAGACCAGGCTGGAAATGGCTGGAAACCAGCCTGGAAATGGCCAAAACCCCTCTAAAACCAGCCTGGTCGACCAGCTAAAACCAGCCAACCAGCCTAGGCTGGTTTAAGCTGATTTTTTTTAGCAGGGAACTGATAATCAACAGTAAAAATGACAAAATTTACCTTTGGAAAAAACAGCAACAATCAAGAACGTATGATTATTTTGTGTCATGACTTTGCAGCCAACAAATGTCATTAAATATGGAAGTCAAAGGGGGCAACAACAGCCATCAACATAATGAAAGGGTAGTAAATGTGCCCGGATTGTATCTAATTTTCAAAGCATTGTCCCAAAATGTGTCAAGAGATTTGTCACCAAAAAATTTGCTGAAAAACCGAGAAAGTTGTGGCCAAATTAAGACTCAAAATCACACTCAGAGTGGATGAAATCAGAGTTAAAGACACTGATTAGCATGGTCAGGAGTGTTTGATTAGTATTGGAGGAAATCTCTGCAGGACACCAGCCCTTCAAGACTGAAGTTGCCCATCTCTAAGGTGAGAAGAGCCACATATATAAGGCTATGCAGTATTTAAATCATGTTCACGTTTCTCAAATCTCATCAAATGTGATGTTTATATAGTGTTACATTGCATCAAGTAAGAAT